GCGCTGCCCCGGGCGCCGCCAGCCGCGAGGCCGTTTGGTGCGTGGCCGGCGCCACGGGGGGATCCCCGTTAACGAGGAGAGGGGAGAACAGCGCGAGGGGAGGCACGAGAGGCGGCCGGGAGCCCGCGGCTGCCCGCGGGGACCCAGCGTGAAAGCTGGAGGGCGGCGGCGGTTCTGCGCCTCGTGCTCACCTCCAGTCCCGGCTTGTAGCAGGGCCGGGCAGCCCTTTTCCAAAGAGAGCGCAGCAAAGCAGCCCTTGYGCTTTGGTCCGAGTCCTGTGGTAGCTTTTTGGATCAAAACCAAGGATGGGATCCACCTTCTTCCACGTTGGGAAAGGAAAACTTAATTTTACCTGTCAGTTCTCTGGGGTCATCCATGGGCAAAACACCACACACCCTGTAGCCTTTGGGCACATCCAGAGGTTCCTGCTGCTCTCCCAACAGGAGCTGCCTCTTAGAGAAACATAGCGCCTCGGCTAGGTCACACCAAGGAGCTGTACTGCACGTGTTTTTTGTCCATGTGGCACATAACACTTATTAAATGAAGAAGATCCAAAGTGTAGGCACTCCCCCTCTGCTATTAAACTCGCTAAAGTCCTGAGACAGTGCTGTTACATATCTATATGCATCTTCGCATAAGTATGTATCTGGAATAAACATTTTTTAAATGCCAGAAGGCATTTTTTATTTGCCTGCAGTGTTGTACAGATGACCAGTCACATAGGCCATAAAAGGTGCTTTCCATTCTGCTTTCAGTCCCTTCACTCCTGAAGTCATAGCACACAAGGCATGATGTCTTTAACAGATACACCAGAAATGAAGCTGTATTCACCAGGTCCAGTGGCTGCAAGGATGTGAAGCATATTAAATGAATCTTTAGTAGCATTTTTTCAATAAATGGATAAAAAAAAGAAAAAAGAAAAGAAAAACACAATGCCACAAAAACTCTGTGATCACAGCTGGATTGTGGAGCACTCCAGTGAAGGATTCACAGGTTTTGTTGTGCTTTGGTTTTGTGCTGTTGCAGGTCACACACATTTTTAGGCGCGGGTGAATCAGCATACAAGTGATTTCAGCTTTCACCAAGTCCTTCCAGTCATCCCAGTTACTCAGTTATAGCAGCTCTTGTTTTGACAAAGATCAATTTTACACTTTCACAGAGGAGCTAAAGCAATTTTTTTTCCCCCTAGGAAGTGACTCTTCCTGGAAAGCATGCAGTAACTTTCCCTCGCCGGGAAAGTGATGGATGGGCTTTAAGAACAGATGGCTTCATAATTAGTTGTTCCGCTCTATTAGGTGCCTCCCGACTTTGTGTGGAATAACGCTGACCTGTCACAGGGCAGCGAGAGGACACGAGCCCGCTGGGTGGCGCAAACACACCAGGCACGAGCAGCCTGGGAGCGGCCACGTCCCTCCCATTCACTGGGTTTTCATTCATCCTTCTATCCAAAGTACRCCGAAGAAGGGCCACACACACAGCTGTAGTCCAGGAACTCATGGATCTTTTTAAACCAAAGCAAGCTCCCAATGTGAACGTGCTCTTGGTACTTCCAGGCTCGATAGAAAAGGCATAAGCTCCCTGAACTGCATCTGCTCCCATAGACTTTGCGACTTAGCCACACCAAAACCACCACTCTGCAACTCATTTCTGAGGCTGCACTCAAGAGAATGTGGCTGTCACTTCCCAGCAGTGTTTAAAACTGGGCAGAAAAAGAYACTGACATACTTACTTTCCTCCATTTGCCATGCTGGTGTTCTAGTTCATTTGAACTGCCTAATTCTCGCACGATAAAGGCATTTGGTAAGGAAAAGGTCCCTGGGGAAGCTACTCTGCTCAGAGGATGCTGAGCTAGCACCAAAACGTGGGTTAGGCAAAAGCAACATTACGTAGACCAAAACTCACAGTCTACCAGAGCTCAAATAGGGGGAAGTCTCAAACTGAGCCAAAATGATGGCATAGGGAAATATTTTTATCCTTATAATTTAAAATAAGAAAAACAAAGGGGGAAAARAGGGGGAAAAAAGCAAATAAGGTAMCATTTTACTACCAATACAAAACTTAATTAACATAATCTACTTACTGTCAGGAAATATTCACAGAATTRGGTAGGAAGAGCCCTCTGAGCAGGGTCAGCTGGAGCAGACTGCTTAGGACCGTGTCCAGTCCCGTTTTGAGCATCTCAAAGAACGGAGACTCCACAAGCTCTCCGGCGACCTGCTCCACCCTTGAGCCACCCACACACTGAATTTTTTTTTCCTTATATTTAGATTTCCTGCATTTGTCCTCCTGCCTGACAGCAGGCACCCCTGCAGCAGCCCAGCTCTGCCTTCCCAGGTAAAAGCCTCCCCCAGGCAGGTCTTTAAGCACCATGAAAAGATGCCACCTGTGTCTCCCCAGGCTCCACAACCCCAGCGCTCTCAGCCTCTGCTCCCGTGTCAGACAGCTGGTCATCTTTGTGGCCCTGCACTGGACTTGCTCAAGTACATCCACCTTCTCTTGTGCCAGAGCGCCCCAAATGGGACACAGTAACCCAGGTATGGTCTCCTCAGCACTCAGTAGAGGACAAGGATCTCCCCTCTTGACCACACTCCTCCTAATGACTAACTAGCATTACCTGTTATCTATACTATAATCTAATGCTACACATTTACTTACCACTATGCCAGTATTCAACACAAGCAAGAGTGACAATGTCCAAGGGAAAAAAAATTGAACAAATAAAGTACATTAAAATATTAACTCAGACTACRATAAGCATTTTTAAACCACATTGTCTATATCACCTGTGATAAAAATATAAATAAAACATTTCATTTTGGAACCTTTAACTTTTTAAGAAAATGGTAGGCCAAGAGTAAACCCACAGTGTGCTTACCTTCATCTCAGGTCTTCTTGGTAATACAAAATTTAAGTTTCATTGTTGTAACCATAAGAAAAAGGATTGGAGCAAATAGGAAGACTCAGTTTCATATCCATGATCAAGATGCCTATTTATGGGATAGGTAACAAGACACACCTGGACACACAACTGGGATGAGGGCCACTTCACACAACCTGTGTGGTGCCTTTGCTAAGCAAGGGAAGTTCCCAGGGCCACATATGTTTGACTGATGATTTGCAGATCACAAAAAGACGTGGTCCAGAAATCTTCCCCCCAGGACCAATCCAAACAGAATGATATTGCATCTTGGCATTTTCACTATGTGGTAATTCTGGATAAATGTGTTCACTGAGGCCCCTAAATTTTCTCGTATTGGAACATTTTCCAGGGCAATAAAACAGACTGCTAGTATTCTTGCAATGTGCACTTGCCTCTTTCCTTGATACACCAATGGTAATTAAGTCCTAGCACATCCTGAGACAAACAAAAATCCAGTCTTGAACTGTTTTCTTTTCAGGGTCAAAAACTCTTTTCTGAAATCTCATTTCTCTCTTTTTTTTTTCCCCCGTTGCTTAAACTAGCTGGCTRTACCTTTTCACCACAAACTTTTGACCTTGTTATTTTTGAGTTGCTAAAAAGGTATATTAAAAAAGTGACAGCCCTAGCAGAGTCTGTATTGTTTCAATTTCCAAAGCTAAAAGCACACATGTATGTACTGGAGCAACTCAGATCTCAGTTGTTCTGAATGAGCATAAATTATATACATAGCCATACTGCATAAAATTCACAAAATACATGAAAAATAAAATACATCTGTATAGCTAGTAGCAATTATTTACCTATGGAAATGAGACACTACTTCCAGTTAATACATTATTCTTTATTAATTTGTAACTGTAGCAATCTTTGTGCAAAACAGACAAAATATAAATATAGACAAAATATAAAAGTAAAAAAGAAATCTTTTACGTCATTTAACATGTTGCTTATATCCTGAAGATGTTTGTAATTTTAGCTGGTGATCACATTTTTTTGTTCCACGTGCAGCAAGAGGAACACTACTAGCTGCCCACGCAGGGGTGCACACCAGCAGTGTGCCTCCCCACACACCCAACACAACACCACCCAAGGGACACGCTGCCAACCTGAATGGCACGGCGGTATCAGAAAAGAAACRTTGCAGAATAAACCAATGATCTAATATATAATTATCTGTATGGATGGAATTGGGATAGTTTTTCGTAAGATTCTGGACGCTATCATTGCATCTTTGCTGTTCTCCTCCGATAGGTGTATTGGCTATTTTAAAGAGTAGTTGGCACTGCACTTACCGAGTATGTCATATTGTAAAGACCCTGTGTCACCTCTCTAACAGCTCGAGCTCAACTGCTTGAAGGATCCAGATTTTGTTCTGATCTTTTAAAAAGAAAATTTGAAAAATATYTCCAGATCTGATTTGGTAATGTCATTATAAAGTACTTTAGAAGTAATTTTAAAATATTTGAAGGATTTCAGTATTTTCTAAAAATAGCAGGTTTTCTTGCATTTTCAATCAATATCAGGAAAATATTTAAAAGTTCATTTTCACAAAAACATTAAAAGCAGACGAGTAATTTATTACAWAACAAAAAATATAAATAATGGATTCATTTTTTAAGAAAAATACATAATAAACAGTATGAATTCGCGAAACATTGGCATTCTTCATGTTGTTTAAAAGTGAATGTTTACTTACACTTTATGTAAACAAGAAACACTTGTTAAAAACAAACACACAGGAAACCATCATTAATATACATATACATGGGCTCATTTTTTTAGATAAATAAGCATGTTCTCCAATATTAGTTCACACTGTAAGATGAACTTAACCATACAAGATAAGCAAACAAAATAATAAAATGCAAACAAGAGGCTGTCCTATCAAGTTGTGATCCAAAACCATAAAGATCAAACAGTGAGCAAAAATCTGGACAATCCAGATAACTGGAAAAGAAGAATTTTGCAAAGCTGATTATTCCACAGGTTTTCACAAATTTCAAAGGTAATAACTGATCTGGAGAAAACTCAGAGGTAGAACTTGTCAGCCTTCATAATTTTCAAAAATAAGTCCTTGTAACAAGGTAATGCTTCTGCAGCTTAAGTACTCGTTATTCCTTGAAACTCACATTTCTGGTGGAGAAAGAAAGTTTTCAAAATGAAACCATCTGCTTATAATATTTTTTACTAGTTAAAATTAGGATGAAAGGTAACAATTAGATCTGATCTGAGTTATCCAAAACTGTAAATGCCTATCATTCTTAATTGCTCAAGTGAACAGAAMATTTATTGAGAAACTAAAAATCAGACTAGAGAAAGTTTCAATACTACAGAACAGTGCAGTACTTAATACTACCAAAGGGTGTACTCGCAGAGTCCCTTTACTGTAGCAGCCTCCCAAGAAGGAACAAGTAAGTAATGCCCATAAGAAAAGCGGTAACGCAGAGATCATGTTAATATAAAAATTGATAGGTTGAGAACGCAATATAGTAAAAATCTGCATATTAATGCAGTTGTTGGAATTGGAATCTGTAAGATTCCAATGACTTACTTTTCAGGTACAGCTCTATCAGCCGTCCTTCCAGCCGCTCGCTCCGGGGAATGCGCGGGAGACCTCAACGTGGAGCTGAGAGGCGATGATGCGCGGAGCGACGACGTGGAGAGGCCGTGTCGACGCATCTCCTGGATCGCGCGCTCCCTGCCAACACGGGGCAAAACTTGGTAAGAAAGCAAAGCTCTTCACCATGTCGCCCAACTTTCTTCTTATGTTAACGAGGAAACATATTAATGGTAAATTCATAGAGTATTTAAAGAAGCAAYAGTATTAAAGAGGAAAAGAAGACACTTCACTCCAAAAGAGCCACCCCTTACCGTTCAAACCGTTCGGTCGTTAGCTGCCTTTTCAAAACATCATAGTCAGTCTGCAGCTGCGCAGCTTTACTTCGAAGCATGGAAACCTCTCTGCTATGACTGCTTCTAAAACACCAACCAACAAAAAAAAGCAACAAACAGAAAAGAAAAACCATGAAAAGCAATAAAGTTTTCTTTGAACCTTGCTCATCTAGCAGAACTAGTACAAACAAAACAAGAAGTAATAGTCAACACCTTGCAGGCATGCCAAAAGGGAAACAAATCAGAAGCAGTGAGAAGARTAAACACAACAGCGTGTTTCTAAGGTGAGAAAGCAGTGAGAAGCTTGCAAGGCTCGCACCGTATTTGTACTGCAGTACATTRTATTCTCCTTTAGCCAAACTTAAACATAGGCATGGTTTATAACAACAGATGAAACAAGTCATTGTTTTATTCATTTACTAGGCTCTGTTTCAATATGAGGAGGTCTTTAAGTGCACATATTAAAGAAGGAAAAAGTAATGGCTATCCACAAAAAAATACAGATACAGCTTCAATAAAAAGTGTATCAAGCAGGCTACACTTCTCTGGSTAGAAATTAACATAACTGAATCAAATCCAGGTAAAACTGGTATTAAAGCAAGCTCAGTCCAGCTACCTCACCTGCTAGCCCATTTGCTTCAATGACAAGAATTTGAAAGAAAAGTAGCTTTGTCAATCTTAGTAACAATTAAACGTGCTGCTCAGCTAATCACCAACTTGGATAGTTCACGTCTTGTTTGCAAAACACCACAAACACCATTAGAAAGCAAACAAAGTTATCATCAAGCAAACCAGTCATCACTGAGAGCAAAGTCAGGGGTCTAAATCAGACTCCAATCATATTATTGCATATAGTCTTCAAAGCCAGTGTGACAAAAGTGCTCGAAAGTCACTTCTRGAGGATGCAAAGATGTCCTAGCTTGTGGCTAAAGCCCTGGGCTTGAATTCCGGACAATGGATTCCATTCCTATCATCATCACAGGCTTCCCATCTGGCACCTGCTGGTCTGATTCCAGGAAGACAYAAACTACTCAAGTGTTTGGATCCAAAACAAACAAAGTCTATTTTTTTCCTGTGTCCCTACTCATCAGTAAAATTCTCAGAATGATTTCTTGATCCAGTGTGTAGTGATCAGATGCAGAAGAGAAGAGGTTTCAGTTTTCGATGACACATTATTCTAAGTCCTTCAGAGACTGGCATATGCTTTCAGGATGAAGGTAAGAATTCAGGACCCAGTATCATTATTAYAAAATAAAGAAAGAAAGCAAACAGTTCTGTGAGTTCTGAGGTTATTGCATGTAAGTGACATTAAAACAAAGATAAGGAAGTCAATGATCCACAAAAGACTAAGACTAAATTAATTTGGAAGCTTTATAMATAATAGCGACCATATAATTAGAGTATGTGAACATATACTATTTTTTCCACAGGACATCTACCTGTTCTGTAGTTGGGACATTCTGACAGTTTAAGTTCTTTGTATGTGATCTAGATTTCTTTCAAGTAACCAGAACTCAGTGATTCCAAGAGATAGAGCTGCTCAAGGGAGAACGACAGCGTTGTCCTCTACAAATTAACTATGGTCTGTATTGCATAAGGGAACRTGATCTCTCCCTATTGTCTTCCATATGTTTCCTTTCTGCCCCACCTTAGTACTTAATAACTGAGTGTATCTATTCTTCCTTTCTTGAAATTCTGATTTGACTTTATTCTTTACACCTTTACACACTGCTCTTTCCTGCTACGTAATGCAAATATACCATTATCTTCACTGGCAAATTCATCACCAGGGGAATAAAAAGTATTTTCATTGCATGATGATACCTACAAAAAAAACCCTCGATTTCCCTGCTTCAAATCATAAGGAAAATGTATTAACTTTAGATTTATTAAATCCTATGAAGGAGAAGARTCATATAAGCTTTGCATCCTAATATATAACTTTTTAAAGTATATGTCCAACTGATACTGGAATGCATACCTACATTTACAGATGCAGTTAAATAAACAATTTTATAAATTATCATGTCTTGCCTGGCTCTGGAGTGCCAGCAGCAGATCAGCTAACTATGAAGATTAAGGATTTTAGTGACTGAAAAGATGGGAGAATTAAATGAGATGTGTCAATTTCATGAAAGACATCACCTCCTGGGCCTGATTCATGGTGGGAAAGATTCTGATGTGAAAATGAATAACAACTAGCACAGACAGAACTAAAATGAAGCAAACAATCTGGAGCCAGACTGGGAAGAGATTCGGAGGGAGCTTGAGTGCTTCTTCTCAAGCCTGGCAGAACAAGTTCAGCAGGGGGTACCATCCTCAGCAGTCGGTGTCCCTTGAACAGGGCTAGCGCTAAACTGATGCCTACCACAACCACCTGGGAATAACGAAAGAGATCTGAAAGATCTAAGAGAAGCTTAAGGGAAAACAATGTCATGACAGAACAAAATGCTTGTCTGCAAAACCCACTCAACCATACTAAGTATTGAAGGTTCCAATATGTGCAAAAATTTCATTATAATTTATATAAAACAAACACTGTTAGAACTTACAGTTTGCTCTCAGCAAGTGTTAGCTTGTCTTTCAGCAACTGAATTTCTGAATCTTTTTCATGGGATGTTAAATGGTTCTGAAATTCTTTATCTCTACTAGTAGCCAGCAGCGCTTCAAGGTTCTGAATTGTGAGTCTCTCACTGGATAACTGCTTCTTCAGCAACTCTGTCTCTGATTTTATGTCTTCTAACTCAGCTACAACCTAAGGCACAAATTTGCATTCATTATAAATTTACTAGTTTACAAACATAAACATGCAGAATTCTCTTTCCTGAAACTTGTTACAAAAATCGAAATGACTTTAAATTTCATAAAAATGAAAACTGAAACTGAGCTCAAAAAAACATATTAAGCCTCTAAACCTATAAATTATACTGAGTTATTTAATACTCAGAGGTGCATCTGTCAAGCATTTTGCAAGAACTGTAATCACCAAATGCTAGAAATACTTTGTTGAATGATTGGAATACTAATCACTTGGCAGCAGTAGGCTATTGCACAGGTGAAAAAAAATATAGCATTTACTTCATTCTATTTGACTAGGTTAGCTTACAATTAGCTTCTCAACTTTTTACAAAAAAATAAAAACACTTGTTTTCCTCAATCAATTTATGAATATAAACAACTGGGAGGATGAGGCTCACTTTCCACGTTTTTGAATACACTAACAGAAAGCCAGATCAAGTCCTTACGTATAGACAYAAATTCATGTAATAACCAGTCGCAAAGAAAAACATTCATGTACTAAAGAAATATAATAATGATTTTATTTTATTGAAGTAACTATTTCACAGAATCACRAAAAAGATGGGGCTTGGAAGGGACCTCTGGAGATCACATGGTCTAACCTCCCTGCTCAAGCAGGGTCAGCTAACGCAGGTCGCCCAGGATCGGATCCAGGTGAGTTTTGCTTATATCCAAGGATGGAAACTCCACATCACTTCTGGACAACCTGCCCCAGAGTTCAGCACCCCTCACAGTGCAGAAGTGTTTTCCTGTGTTCAAGTGGAACTTCCTGTATTTCAGTTTGTGCCCGCTGCCTCTTGTCCTTTGCCCTGTCACTGGGCAACACTGAGAACAGCCTGGCCCCGTCCTCTTGACACACTCCCTTCTCATATCAGAAATGTTACTGCCCATTCATCATCCTTGCGGCCCAATTACTTCAAAATATTTTATGCATTTCAGCTAAAATTAAAATTTCATTTTGATTGAAAAAATAATTAGGGAAACCATTGAAATAAGAGATGCACAATTCAGCTTTATAAAAGAAAAGCTGATATTTGAATAATCATAGTTAAAAAAAAGACCATAAATACAGCTTGCATCTCTAGTTGGCAAATCTATGGCTACCCCATACTGTAATGGTTAGTGAAGCAAATTCATCATTACTGTACAAAAATATAATACTTATAATGCACATGTTGATTAAAAACAAAATAAGCTATTTTATTATTGCCTCTGCTACTTACCCTTTCATAATCCATGCTTTTGGATGTCAGCTGCCGAGACAAATGGTCCTTGCCAGTCTCGAGCTTCACRCACAGTTCTCTCACAGAAGCCAGATCAGCCAACACAGAAGATTTCTCCTGATTTTCACGTTTCAGATCCTCTTCCAGTTTGGACATATTTTTTGTAATAGAGGAGATCTGAGATTCATATGCTTGATGTGCGACAATATGCTGAACAAAATCAAACGTGGACCCTCAGTGTTAAATRCAATAATTCTGTTGAGTAACACTTTTTTTCTTATACTTGCATGGTAAACTGAAATTTAAATTATCCTAATTGCCTTCCATCTCCCTAAATCACAGCAAGGAACTACCATYAAGATCATGAAGATTACAAGGCATTACACAATAGCAGAAGGAATCTGTATTGCAGCTTTGAAGATAAATGAAAAGCATACAATACAAAAAAACATTATCTATTCTTTACACGTAATCACAGAATGGTTGAGGTTGGAAGGCACCTCTAGAGATCATAYAGTCCAACCCCCCTGCTCCAGCAGGGACACCCAGAGCACAGGGCGGCATCCAGGCGGGTTGGGAAGATCTCCAGAGAAGGAGACTCTCCAACCTCCCTGGGTAGCCTGTTCCAGGGCTCTGTCACCCTAACATGAAAGAAGTTCTTCCTCACATGGAGATGGAATTTCCTGTGTTTCAACTTGTACCCACTACCCCTTGTCCTGCCATTGGCCACCACTGAGAAGAGTTTGCCCCTCTCCTCCTTACATTCTCCCCTCAGGTACTTAGACATGTCGATCAGATCTCCTCTCAGTCTTCTCCAGGCTAAACAGGCCCAGCTCGCTTAGTCTTTCCTCCTAAGATAAATGCTCCAATCCCCAGCTTCCATTAAAACATTAAAAATGTCAACATCATTAGAAGCAACTTGAGTGTAACTCACTTGCCTTGACAGCATTACACTACATAAATTATTACCTCTTGTATCTCTTTTTCCAGAAGCTCTACTCTCTCGCGTAAATGCCTGCGGTCTGTATCTACAGAAAGGAGTTCCAGCCGTATTGAGCTGCTTTCTCCTTCAGCTTGATGAGCCTTGATTTCCCAGTCTTCAGCTTGYGAATGGAGCATTCGGAACTTCTCTAACAAATCTTGATTTTCTTTTTCCTGCGGAAATAGTAAAACATTCTYGGTCCAATGATTTTACTGAAAACAATAAATGTCTAGAGATTATAGCGTTACCTTTGATGCCATCAAGCTTTCAAATCTGGACACTTCAGTGATGTAATTATGAACTCTAGTCTTCATCTCTTCTTTTTCACGTATTGCATCTTCCAGTTCTGTACTGACAGCCTAAAAAGATTGCAAAAAGATCTGGAGAAAGGAGGCTACRCTGAAAGCCTCCTTTTCAGGGAAGTAATACATAACTTAATCCTATGATGCCACACAGTGCACTCATACCTGGTTTTCTCTGGTCATTGTAGCCAAGTCATCTTGCAAGCGCCTGTTTTCTCTCAAAGCAATTTCCTTTACTCGTCCCATTTCAGCAAGCTCCATGTGGGATGCATCAAGCTGGCGATGCAGACTCGTCATCTCACGGTCCCTGTTGCTCAGCATGTCCTTGAGCTGGCTGTCAAAGAGGAGATTTTWAAAATTTTATTTAAAATGTCCTTTCTCGAACTATAGCACATACTGCTGAAAATKATCAGATAGGGGTTCTGAATAGAAAACAAACAAACAAAAGGATACTAAACTTGTCTGACATGCAGGTTATCATCATTACACAGGCCATGAGTTAACAAAGTAGGCAAACTAAGGATTTAAAATCTCAGTGTACTCCAACAAAATAGAATTAATCTTCAACTTTAAAGATTTAGCTGGCACAATAAATAATACACATTTATTATGTAATTATAATAATTATATTTTTGTTTGCCTGTGTTTGGTAGTGGTTAGTTTGTTAGCAATTGCCTATCAATACCATAAGGGAAGAAGACAGATCCATCCCCGTGTAGCTTACACTTATAAAGCAACAATCAAAGAGTAAAGAAAAAATGTAGACAAAAGAAATAGAAATATTTCATGCATATCCACAGATATTTGCGTTAGCTTTTTGCTACAGATACTTCATGCACCAAAGTACAAAAATTTCAGTTAAACTGCTCTTCAGATGATTAACTGTTTTTACTGAGAAGTCATAGGTTGATGTTTGAAAATTGGCAAGAAAGGACCACATAAAACTCAYTAAGAAGCAAGAATCTAAAAGCAGACAGTAAATTAAAGCATTTTAATTAAGAGTGTGCCATTAATTTAAGCAGGAAGAATTAACTTGCCAATAATTAGAGGWTAATTCTGAGTCCGCATCTAATAATATCTAATACCTACAATGCTACAATGTCACTTCTAATTGAGAATCAAGATTGTTACTAATTAGGAAAAACAAAACCAGAAAACAATCATTAATGCCTATGCTTACAAAATCTTAGCAGCCTACCATGTAGCTGTAAGGAAAATGTCTTCAAAAGTCATATATAACTTTATCAACAGTGTACACTCCTTTACCTGACTTAAAAACAGAGTAATTACATCAAAGATGATTAAACACCAAAATAATTAAAACACCGGAGCAGTTTTAAAAGCCACCTACTACAGCTTTGAGACCACTGAAGATATTCACTGGAGAAAACAAGACTCCTCATGAAAGTGTGTCAGAGTGAGTCTTTACTTACTCTGTTGAGGAYTCCAACTCCGACAGAGTTAGCCGCAAATGAGTAATTGTTTTTTCCTACGGAAATAAAAGGAAAATTTGTATTAAAGAATATTATGTTGCACCATAACAAGATACTTCAAGTTAAAGATCTTTATAATTAGAAGTTTTATTTTAACTCTTCAGAAAACAGTTATTGCATCAAGTAATTGCACATTAAAATTTCCAAGGTTCCTTCCTTTATTGATAAAGGTTTGTCTTGACATTCAAAAGACAGGTCACTATGACCTCAAGCAAGAAACTTATGCCAACAACACTTCTGTATCGCTCAGAATGCTAAAGAACTACACTAACAATCACAATGAAAATTCTGATGAGCTGACAAATGGCCCTTTGTATTGCACAGATCCAAACATAAGAAGCCCAGAGMTCTGTGCAGTCTTCTGTCATCAAGGTAAAGGATCTGCATAAAATGTAACTACACTCCATATGGAATACAAAATAGTATTGTGTCACATACCTTATTAGCTAAGTTGTCATCTAAGCATGCAATTCTTTCAGTTTTTTCATCTACAGTTTCTTGAAGATTGTCCTTTTCCTTATCCAATACAGTAATAGTAGTTCTAAGCACATTGACTGTCTCATCCTGGGAGGTGCTCCTCTGGTTTAACCTATCTACAAATAAAAGAAGTAGTATTTTTAATTCTAAAAGAGCAAATAAGATTAAAAATATGAAAATAAATACAACCAAAAAGAAATTACCTATTTTTTCCTCCAGCTTTACAATTTCTTCTTGAGCTGACTGCAGTTCATCCTTTTTGAGAGACAACCGGTGCTGTAAATCTTCAACAGACCTCTGGAGTTGTTCATTTAAGAGCCTGGGAAATCAAGATAAAAAAAAAAAAAAAAAAAAAAAAAAAAGGAATTTTCTCTGGTCCCACCGATGTAGTTTGCATGGGCATCTGTCTTTGTTTTACAAAACAGCACTTTAAAGTCATTTAAGAAATTTCTGTTCCATTACATTTATAAGCAGAGAACAGGGCATTGGAGGAAGCAATTCTAGGAGGAGGAAAAAGTCTTCCCAGCAAGTTAGACAGAAAGGTTTTCTGTGTATCTGCTTACCAAATTAGGCCATGAAGAGATTGCTGTGAAAAGCCACCACAGCACATTTCTTATTCACATTTTTACATGTTCTTAAGACAAAAACATTTTGATATTTGGTATTTTGAAAATATTTTCCTCTGTTTCCTCAGGTATATAGATTTAGAACARACAAAATTATGTGAGCATCTGTGAAAGATAATATTTGGTGTTAAACTTACTGAAGTGAACAAAGCTCAGTTTTAAACTGAGAAGAGTCATCTGATGTCTGGGCAAGTTTACTGGACTTCATTTTTAATTCATTTTCCAAAGAATTTATTCTTTCTTTCAAGATAGAGATTGTAGCCTTCAGTTCACATCTTTCCATCTCAAACTGCAATTAAAAAGACCATTTACCATTGTAAAAACCTTCTATAACTTCATCTTTGAAATAAACTTAAGTAGTGAACAGCCAACAAAATTAATTACTTGAAAAGTCTATCCTATAAGTAATAAAAGATTTCTTGCTAAAAATGCACTTACTCCTTGAATATTATTTTCCATTTCTGCAATATCATGCTCCATTTTTGATTTCTCAAGGTTAGCTGCTTCCTGTTGAATCTGAGATAAAAGGATAGGATTACATGTAATAAGATGCAGATTTTTAGATACAAGCATGATTTTAAGAACTGTGCTGTGTATTCTTAGATGTATAATACAATGAAAATTTATTTCCATAAAATACAGACTGTAAACTGAAAACACACCACTGAAGGTCAGCATAACATTGTTCAGGATAAGTTAATCTTTTACTGGAATTTTAGTAGAAAATGTACACTTGTATTTGGTACCAATTTAAATAACATCTATCAATTGTTGAAGAAAACTAGATAGACCAATATGAAAGGCAGCAAACAAGAAGAGTTAATATTCTAAATAACCTGAAATTAATTTAAGAAGAAACCATTGTATTTATGTAAATACAACCCTGGAAATAATGACATGTAAGACATATTACAAAACTTCAGTGGTCCTTCTCCAAGTCTATGAAGAAATCTTGTTTAAAGTGATTTGTCTGTTTCACTTCAGTGCATGAATGCAGTGAAATTATTTTTAAAAGTTCTCAAACTTCCTACAGGCCGGAGCATGATGCTTTTTGTACAATGCTCTTTTCACACATGAAGTGACAACTCTACCCCAGTTTCCTACTCCTCCAAGCGTATCAAAACATGATCAGTTCCAAAGCTGCTGCTTTTCTTTTTTAGATAGAAGACATAAAACTAAAAATCAAAGCATTTTTAAGGCTAGACAAGAACTATTATTAAGGCCAGCATCTATCTCGGTGCTTAATGCTATACTTTACCAAGGAGTTAAAAATATTTGGCTTCCATTGTTTTTAGTATATGCAAGCATTGTTTACTCTCTGCAGTTATAGAGAAGGTGGTTTCCTTTTCATTATGGGATAAGGAGACTTTAAAAGAAGTGGGCAATGACTACATGAAATGAAGTCCACTTTAAATTGAGATGATACCYTGTGCACAAAGGGTTACAAAAGTCATTCAGGAGTTTTGCTCCCTGTAGATACACCAAGCTATAGCCCTTCCCGCTTAGATAATATACATATTGTTTGCAACCAAATCTTAAGTGGGGCTCAGGCATCTTCAAAGTAGAACGTAAACAATGAAGAAACAAAGCAACAAAAACGTCTGTGGTTGGGGTTCACGTTTGAATCCTTCCCATCAGAGTGCCCTGCTTGCCTCCATGCATTCACAGCATGTTCCTGAATGCCGTGAGATCGAGACATAYAGACTGAAGTTTCATTGATAATTCAGTCAAGTCACCCAGCTCTCTCAAGTGAATTTGAAATCAGACAGTTTTGGAAGTTATTGAAAGGGGTAACCGACAGACAGCCTGACATAAACAGTATCATCAAATAAACCACAATGGCCTATATACCTGCTCACGGATTGCAGTGAAACTAAAAAAAAAATTACCTTTAATTTTTCTCTTAAGCTTTCTTTTTCTGCCATTAGTCTTCTGAACTCAGTCACTGAAAAGTCKCTTTCATCTTCCACATGACTTTGAGAAATTAAATTATGCTTTGCTTCTCTTCTTAACCTGTTTAATTCAGCTTGAGACTTCAAAAGTTTGTTGCTTATTAGCATACATGGATTGCAATTAACATGACATACACACTAACAAAATGAGAGTAAGTTTAAATGGTGTCATTATAATAGAAGTGCTATATTCCTATTTTTCCCTAACATCACAGAGGCATGAAAACTTCTCCTCCCAACAAACTTACATAATTCCACCTACAGCCTAACTCCTGTTTTCTTATCAGTTATTTTTGCTTCTTCCCTGCTTTCCAACCTATATTCTCACTCTATCTTCTCATGCATTCTCTTGACTTTTGCTGAGCTTTCTCAAGATCTTTCCAAATACCAGAACAGTTCGAATAGCTTTGAAGCTAATACTCTAACTTGGCAACACATCATTTTACTAAAATGGATAAAAAGTTATATATTATTCTTGATTATATTCTAATAGATCTAAACTCAAGTTATATTATGGAGGGTTTTTTCCCCCCTTTTTAAATAAGCAATAGTACAGTAAATGTTAATTARTTAATTCAGTGACAATTAAAACAATCTCCTTTTACCTGCTCACAAAGAACATTTAATCTGTCTCTTTCTGCAGTCAATAATTTCACATTTGATTGAATTTCTATCATGTGTTTTTCAAATCTGTCTAACATGGACTGTAGCTCGTCTCTTTCTCTGGTGACCAGCCTAAGATCCTCATTCTGCAAAGAGATTAATAAAATTTATGTTAAAATACACATTAAAATATTTGTTAAGTAATACAAGTAAGAAAAACCTCACAGTAGTAATAATACATGAAAAAGCACAATTCCAGAAAAAAAGCCTGGCATTGCTGGTATAGTTCAAACAATAACAACTAATCATAAAAGCAAAAAAATGAACAAAATCAATATAATTAACAATAAAACTTMAAATATTTTCTCTTTATTTACCAACTAGATTTATCAATATTAAACAAAAAGGCCAAAGGTAAATTAATATTACAATAAAATAATTGTAATTATTTTATCTCAATTATTTTTGTTAAAATTATAAATTTTAACAAAATTTATTTTATTTTATTTTTTAAATAAATTATAAATTATAAATTAAAAAAAAATTGTAGTCATTTGCTGTCATTGAAGTTGAAAATGGATTTGACAGTTCCTTGAAGGGAACTACAGGATTTCCARAATTTTTCCAGTTTGTCTTGACAGCAGAAGCATTACCTTTTCTGGAGTCCTACGGCTTGGGCTGGGCCTTCGTTTTATCATTTTCTGAAGATATTCGAGTTCTCGCTTATAATAATCTCTATCGTCTTCTAAAGTCTTTACAAACGCATCAAGACGAGATGGAGATTTGTCTCCTAGGGCAATGCCATACCCTAGTCTCATTCTTTCTATTTCTAGGACAAGTTCTCGTTCTGCAGAACAAGAAATAAAAACAAATAATTGCATGAGGACTTCATGAAATTCCATGTCTGTATACTTGCATCTGGGATGAACTAGTTCCCTGCAGCAGGTCTGCTGAGAAGGACGTAAGGGTTGTGGTTCATGGTCAAGAGGGGCACAGACTGAGGGACGTGGGTACTCTCCTTTACTCAGCACCCATAAGACCACATCTACACCACTGCACTCAGTTTTGGCCCCCTTGTAGAAGACAAACTAACTTTAGTTGATAGACTATCAGCATACTGATAAACTTTATATGTTCTCCCCTGGACTCTCTTAGCTGGGAAGAGCTTGTTCAGGCTGGAGGAGGGATGGTTCCAGATGGGAATCTAATGGGGAGCCTGCTAGTGCCAGGAGGAGGATATGGGTAAGGTCAAGCCAGGCTCTTCAGTGAGCAGCWGTGGGTGAATAGGAACAATGATTCTGATCTAATACAAAGAAAATATTTTTATAATCTGAAGAAATGTTAACAAATGGTATAAGTTGCCCAGGGAGGTTGTGTAGCCTTTGAAGTTTTCATGCCCAGMTGGAGAAAGCTCTAAAGAAACATGGTCTGAAAGAGAGAGAAAATTTATTCTGTATAAATACAGAATACTTCTGTATTAGCGTGTCCTTTAGGATCCAATGAAAGGTTAATCTTTTGGTCTGCAAATTAAGAACAAAAATAGGCCTCTGATAAAAAAAAAAAAAAAATCACTTCAATTCTGATTGAAGAACTACATTTTGAYACATATCAAGCCTCTTAGTACTATTAGCTGTATCTTAAATATGATGTTACTATTTCAAAAAGTACAGAAAGTTTAAAAGAATCTGTATTTGGTAATTTACCTTTTCTTTCTAAGCTCTCTACTTTTTCAGACAGTCTTCGTTTCTCTTGTTCAAGCTGGTTTAACAACAGCTCAAGATTCTCTCTGTCATCTGATTTCCCAAAGAGTTCTTCGCTCARTCTCTCTTTCTCTCTACGACATGAACACAGCTCCTGAAATAACAAGCAATGGTACTTTTTTTTCYTTTGTAATAATTAAGATATTCAGAAAAAGTTATTTAATATAGTTAGATTTCACTACATAAATTTAACATTTAACATGAATGTTCTACACTCAGCGATTTAACTCTACATTTACAAAAATGCTTTAACAGCATTTGTTAAAGGCCATCACTGCTTTTATACTACTTTTTATTGAATCACAAGAAGCATTACTTTTGACATACTTTGCAATCTTCCATCTTATTTTTTAACTATTATGTGGCTCCTTTAGCTGTTAGATCTATTATACATTTTAAATTATTGGATTATTACACTTTTTAGCATTTTGAGATAATATAAGCTTTATGCTAAAAACATTAACAGTGCTTTGCTTTTTTAAGAAAGGAAAGATCATCTGGATGACGATGATAAAAGTGCTACAAACGAGACATGGTTAGTGGAAAGAAGAAATTGAGGAATCTTTTGAAGAGACTTCAACTGAAATTATTTTTACTTACTGACTTAAGTTTTGCTATTGTTTCTTCAAGATCCTGTATTTCACTGTGTTTTCTTTCAATTTCTTTCTATCAACCAAAATTAAAGTACATGTTAAAAGCTACATATTCAAAATAACAACAATTCGTGTGTTACAAACAAACAGAAAAACCCTAAGGAATCCCACTACATGTAAATAAATCGGTAAATTCTGGATAAYATTATTTAAACTGGAAAAAAATGTCTCTGTACTCTTCCTATACAAGTCGATATGTAGTTTCTTGCAAGCTAAAAGACAGAAAACTGTCTCAGAGCCGGCAGCTGTTTCACATTGTAAAGTGTTGCTGATTACCTTTGCTTCTCCTATTTCCTTATCTGCTGTCTCYAGCACAATTTCCTTGTGTCTTTCCAACTCTTGTGCCAAATGGTCTATTTCATTTAGTTCTTGACACAGTTCTTCATTTTTATTGCTTAATTGCACTACTTCACTAGTCACATTTTGTTTAGTATCCAACAGATCTTGAATGCGATTTTCAAGTTCTTTGTTTGTTTGCTGAAGATACTCAACCTAAAAGATATTTTTCAATAAAATATTAGTATGTATTGTTAAACAAATAATAAAAGTTCCTCCAAATCTTTCAAAATACAGTATCTATTAATAAAAAAAATTGTTAAAATGGCAAGATTATCTATTTTTGGACCATAACTATCAACATAGAAGAATGATTTTACAAAGGTGCAAATTGAAGGAATTCATTACTACACAGTATATTTTATACAACCTATCCAAACAGGAGGTATGTTCTAAAAATATAAAGTACAGAAAAGCAGAGATCTGTATAGAAACTGTGCAAGGCATCCGTCCAATAGAMTCAAGTGTATTCAAAGATTTCCTAAATGACACTAGATGTGAGGAAAGTTTCCTCTATCCATCTGCCTTGTATATGAGTAGGGCTTCACCTCATCATTACTCCTTCACGAAAAATCAGATTCCTAAGACCTGTTTTGCCCTCAACATATCTCTGCATCTTAAACACAAGATCTCCAGTAATCCTGCTCTACAAACATTGTTTTGACACTGTATTTTTCTCAGAAGAAATGGAAGAGAACACAGGGACATTTACCAGAGGGAAAAATACATATACCATAAGCTAAACTATGCAAGGAAATGAGCACCTGGAATAGCTTGAAAAAATATATATACCTTGGCATAACAGGTGCTGTCACTTCTATCTCAGCATCATTTTTCTCACAACTGCAGAGGATCATTACTGTAGACAAGACAGCAAGCCTGAACCTCCTTTCATTCACAAACACTACTTTGTGGAGATACTCAGCTTCAGAGACTGCAAGTAATACTGGCACTGAGCCTGARGAAACAGACTTGCTGGACTAGGATTGGATTTATGCTGCTCTAGAAGCACAGTGCATGCATCAGGACATGCTCTCTGCGCAGGCAATTTGTGTTCAGCATGACTTACTAATTCGGGATCACTGAACACGGCTGTTCTGCTTCATTCTGTATTCCTGCAGCACTGAACCTGAGCTAATAAGCTCTGCAACCTGACTCTGCAAGCCACTGAACTTCGGGTACAACCSGGACACCAAGTAAAATTCTGTTGGAAAAGCAGAATTGATGGTGTATCYATACACACATGAGCTTTATTTCATCTGTAGTCTATCATGTCAGTTACAAATCCTTCCTTTGAAACCAATGCTGAATGCGTGCCARTATGTACATTGAACATAACCATATGTATCTTAAACTTTTTCATTTCAATAATTTGAACTCAACAAGGGTTCCCCACTATTGAATGGCGTTTCCTAATACTTACCACTCCTCCCCATACAAATATCTACAGTGCTATTTTACGAAACATAAACAGAACATCTGCAAAAAGACCCAAGTTTTTAAAAGAGAGTAAATCTTTCCAAATTCGGTCAAAACATTTATTATACAGAAATTTTCTGAATACTTTTAGATGAGCATTATACAGATGTGAGTTCGTAATTTTTTTAATCAAAAAAATTCCAAGACATTTTTAAACTAAGAACTGAAATGTCTTTAAATAAGAAAAATATTGAAAAAGAAGAGCAAGTTAGACTGAGTTTATATCCAACAGTACTACTTTTTTTTTTTTTTTAAAGAAGAGCTGGAAGAGGGATTTTTTGCTTTTTAAGATTGCCAGTATTTTAGTTTAGCAATAATAAATCCATTACCTGTAAATTTAAGTGGGCAATAAGCTTCTCATTACTTTTACTCCTTGATTCCAGAGATATAACATCATGAGAGCGACCGCCATCCAGTGCTAGCACTAGACGCTCTATTTCTTTATCTCTTAGCTCAACCTTTGAGGAGAAAAGATTAATTCCTTATTATCTTCTACATTGTTTTATAGAACCTCTGTTAAAATAAACTTATATAACATGCAGTAAGAAAAGATGYATCAAATTTTCTCGTGTTTCTTTTTTGCATCGGATTGTTTCTGAATTTTGCTGAACAAAGAGATTCTTTGAAATAAAAATAAGTGAACTGAAGGTCAAAGCTAACTTTGTGAAAAGCTACCGAGAAAAATAAAATCAGATTATTTGCTTGAAGAGAAATTAATTGTTTTCAAGTGAAAATAATAAATGTTGCAAATTTACCACACGAGGCTAGCATTTACATTTGTGGAACTGGCTTTTAAACTGTGTAATTCTGTTCAGGGTGAAAAAACAGGGAGCACTGAAAGAGGAAAACCAAGCCATAAACAAACAAACAAATAAATAAACAAGAAAAAAGCCTTCACTAACCCTCAAATATCTAATGACGTAAATAATAACATAAAAAAAGACATTTTATTGATCTGTTCAAATTAAATACTGTAAAGTGTTGGCCATAGATTAATTTTAAAAATTCAAAATCTAAAATTGTTTGAAACAGAAAAAAACATATATATACTTCTGTATCAATATGTATCTGTAGATCAAATTATGACTTTCAAGTAGTGGTTCTTGTGCACTAAAAACCCTAGGCACAGAAACTCTACTTACAATTCTCAAAAATAGGTCTTTTCATGTAAATTTTAATATGTAAAATCCTTAATTAAAAATAACAAGAGCAGAAGGAATATTACTGCATTTGAAAGGCTAGCAATGCTAAAATACTTTTAAAAGTRTAAGATTAAGAAGAAAAAAAGCAGAAAAAATAATTTATGGGATTTAAAATATATCTATTTTTGTAAAGCCTTCAATGATTTCCACTGAGGTTAAAATATGAATTATAATCAAGGCTATTGCAATAACTATACAGCCAAYTAATAAAAAACCYTCTAAGTATACCTGTTTGCTATAATTTTTCATTCCTCGTTCAGATATCTCCAATTTTTCCTGTAGTTCTGTGACTTCTGACTGAAGTTCATGAATTCTGAAATGTAGTAATATATTGTATTTGTGGATTCATGAAATAATTATACATACATAACACTTTGGTAGTAGTATTTTCTCTTTCCTCATGAAAAAATGTTTCAGTAACAAAAATATTTTGTTCATACAAAGTATTAATGCAGCAAATGTTGAGATGTCTTCAAAATAAGAAAATCAGAAATATATTTTTGAAAGTGACCTGAGTCTTTCACAGTACAGAGACACAAGCCTGACATAATCAAGATGTCTCTTGACATAATCAAGAATGTCACAGACTTTCAAAACAATTACCTTTTTTTTTTTTAATTTTTCAACAAAAACACCTGCCTTCTTTCCAGAATGCCTGATGTTTTAAAAAATGGCATAACAGTAAAACTAATAAAGAGATCTTAAAATCTTAAAGGAATTAAAAACCACATTAAATAGTCATTACAATGTTATCATAGACAGCTCTGTCAACTGTAAAAGAACTATGCTGCTTTTGAAACATCTCTTGATGTCTTGAAACAACATAATCTCATCYCTGGAAGGCAGAAGGGAAAAAAATATTTAATATTTCTAATATATAAATTGTTTACATTACCGGTTATCGGCCACCTGAAGGAGGTCTGCAATATACGGGTCCTCGGGCTGAGGAACCGGATAGGCCCTAACACCTGACGGGGGAACTGGCTGGTCTATCTGCATGCGCTGGCGCCTGAATGGAATGCTTCTTTTCTTGCCACCTAAGAGAAACCCAATGTTTTTACACTTAAAAATATTTTTATCACCGAACTAACCTCTGAATTGTTTAATAGTACTTTTYTTCTTATAGCTTCTTGTCATTTCCATTTATTAAAAGCTTTGTTTCATAGCAGAGCAGGTTATTTGCCTGAATGCAAAATMAAACAAGACTATTTCCAGAGGGAACAATTACTTAAACCTGTATGTGATGATGGAAAAATCCCAGAAGACAGAGTAAGTATGGAGAAAGACAAGAAAAAGTGGTACATAGCATCTTTGAAGTGAAAGGGCATGCAAGAAGTTGTAAAGATATATATGTATATAAATAAATATATATACCTACACATACATATATACATATATACATATATATATATATATATTCTCCTAACTGCATACTGATTCTTTTCAAGTGCCAAACCACACAGGTAATCAAAAGACCAGGAGTGAAAATACTTAGGTTCAAAATTTCACAAAATACTTTTCATTATTTCCTTTGATTTGAGGAAAAAAAAAATGAAGAAAAATAGGYAAAGGAGAAAGAGAATAAACCTAAAAGTTATATCTACTACATTTTAATTTATCAAAAGACTCTTTTAAGAATTGTTAACTTCCAGATGGTTGGATTGTTTGTAACATGCTACTACTGAATCTTCATTACAAAAATCTGAATTAGTCCTTGACACATCATCAGTTAATTGGCAAGGTCCAAGCATCAAACAAACCTGTCCCTGACAAAATCAGCAGCAGCATTAGAAAATTAGCTGTTGATTGAGATTTTCCAGCAATGTTTTAACTTAATGATCTTCTATTGACTTCATATTTTAACTTGTCTATACTACAGCCTAAAYGTAGACCTAAAAGCTTCTAAAAGTAGTATTATTGTGCTGAACAGCGTTATTTTAGTGTAATAATCTCCCATTCTATACACAAAAAAGATAATGTATAGAATAACCAAGAAAAGCCTAGGAAAAAAGTACAAATGGCTATTTACGCTTACCTGGTGTTTGTACCACTGCTTGCAGATTCTTCTCCTGAAGCTGCTGAATTTTTTCAGTCTTGGCTTTATTTTCTTTTTCCAACATTTTAATTTTATGTATATATTGGTTATTTAGAAATTTGAGGTCAGCTGTTTCATGGTCAACTCTCCTTAGAGTTACTTTCAAATCTTTGAGTGCAAGAAGGAAAAACAAACAAACAAACAAAYAAATAAAGCATTATCCTCTTCATTCATTATTCTTCCACGTAGCATCAACATCAATATAAAAGAATTTTGTGTTCTCTTCCATACAATGATTTCTTCAAATGCCTTAAATATTGCATGTAGCTTTTTTATTCTTTTAAAGACAACTCTAAACTTCTACAGTATTTCTAGTTCAGCCAAATTKTTGGCAGTCAAAGGTCTGAACTGCTTCATACTCATTTCATTATTTGCTATGCTTTGCTATACTCTTGAATTTGAGGAGGTTTTGGCATATTGCAACAGCTGGATGTGGGTGCCTACCCCATTTTGCACCAGTCAGTCTAACCCCATATGATGGCAAAGGGAGAAATAAGGGCCTGCCATGACTGCCCTGTGTCAGTAACCACAGCCGTTGCATGGAGGACTAAGCTAGGTTAGACAGGACTGTATTTTGCTGGTAGAAGAAATAACATCTTAACACCGTGATGTGGCTACAACTTAAACCACAACAATAAACAAACATCAGTAAGCAGAATTATTTAACTATGGATTTTATATTCCTTTGCCTTAAAGTGTATTTCCTCAGGGTTTCCTTTCATGTTCCCATCATTACTTACGTCAGAGCTCTTCCCATACTTTTTATTTTCTTTAGCCAGCAGCCTTGTAARAAACAGCCCGTGCTGCAGGTAACGTCTCACTAGATGTGTTGACTGGCCAGACGGCCGCTGTCAAACTGCTCCCTCTCTTTCCATCTACCCGCCTGAGGGTTGTTTGTTGTTGTTTTCTTTTTATTGTATTTTAGTTTTCCAAAAATTCTGTAAAACTTTGACACTATCAGAGGCTTCAATTGTCCTGTCAAATACTGGTGAAACTGGTCATGAGGGTCAAACTTAGTGGAAATGATAGATGGACAGCATAACCACAATACCTTTATTTCATTAGGAAAACAAACTCAGACATAAATCAACATATTAAATGTCATAACTTATTGYCATAACTCATAATGACTTGGCATTAAAAATAGCAATGAATTCTTTTAAAAATGAATTATATCAGTTGAGTGAAATATTATATAAGAGAATAAAAAATGACTATATATACACATGCAAAGACACAGTATGTATGTGTTTATAGACACTTATACAAATAAAAATCCTTTGGAGAATAAAGGCACATTTATCTTTTGTCCTCCTTCTGCATTTTAACCAAGAAGTAGGATTTCAAGAAAAGAAAGCGTAAGTGAAAATGTTCTAACGGTTTCAYGTTCAATGAAATCAATGATATAAAGGAGCTCAAAAGCTTTTTAACKAGAAAAGTATCTGCACATGAATCACATGAATTCATTAAAGGTGCTGCTCACACACATAAATATATATATATACACATGTGTTTGTAGATCAGGGATTTGTCCACAATTTTATTTTGACATTGAAGGATAGGAGGAAAAAATGCACAATTTCTATATTACCTTTAATACGACGATCAGATTGCTCTTTGAGTTTCAGTATTTCTAAGTGTAGTTCATTATTTTCTCTGGTAAGCCTCGCATTCTCTGTTTTATAAGGTTCCAAAATAGCATCATAGTTGCTGAATTCTTTTTCAATCTTTCCAGCAGACAACTTTGCACTGCGCAGGCTCTCTGTTGTATGGACAAGGTCACTAGAATTAAGGAACATGAGATACATTAGATCTGTTGGCAAACTTCCAATTGCAGGCGCAAATTTTTATTTTTACCTCGGGGAAAAAAAAAAAGACTATTTACTGTGGAACAAATCAGTTAAAAAATGCRAACAGAACATTTATGTAAGAAAAACTGAAAGACTGGAATCACCCACCTAAATAAATAAATACAAAAAAGGACAGGACAAATGCAAAAAAGAATTGAAGATGTGGAAAAGCATGATCTTGCACCTGCTAACTGAATAAACTCATCTTTCTGCAGAGGAAAAAAAAAAAAAAAAATCAATGAATTTTTTTTCTCCAAATACTATTTAAGTTGTAGTAATGCTTACTCCAGAAGAAAGCTGGCAAAATGGCAAAAATATGAAGGTTAATAGAAAGCTTGTTTTTTAGTTCTGTTATTTTATCTATGACTGCAGAGAGAATAAACTTGAAGATACACTTCCACAAATGGAATCCTAAAAGACTGAACTGTGAACATTCARTCACAGTTCAAATATCAAAAAATCTGACCAGTTTTGAGTACATCTTTATCAATAGTAAATATTATGTTAGAAAACTGTTAGTATATAAAAGAGAAYCCTCATATAGGTCATATTATATAGTTACTTTTATACAAGAGAACTATTAGCTCTCTTACGAGGTTAAAAAATAGAATTCTCTTAAGCTTTAGAACTATCTACCCATTCTAACAATTTAAATTAAATCTTAAGATAAATCCATTCAATATCCTCACACATGGGAACTAAATATTAGCTCTGAGATAAAATTATTTGAAAACAATCTTCAGTCTGAACATTTGCCTT